TCTCTCTCTCTCTTCTTCTTCTTCTTTTGTGTGTGTGTGTGTGTGTGTGTCTTGCCTGCTCTCTCACCATTTGCTAGCACCATTGGACATTTCAGCCACCAGAATCATGAGCCAAATAATACTTTTTTAAAGATTTATTTATTTATTTGAAAGTCAGAGTTACACACAGAGAAAAGGAGAGGCAGAGAGACAAAGAGGTCTTCCATCCACTGGCTCACTCCCCAATTGGCCGCAGCTGCACTGATCCAAAGCCAGGAGCCAGGAGTTTCTTCAGCGTCTCCCACACAGGTGCAGGGCCCAAGCCCGTGGGCCATCTTCTAATGATTTCCCAGGCCATAGCAGAGAGCTTGATGGGAAGTGGAGCGGCCATATGGGATGCTGGCACTACAGGCAGCAGCTTTACCTGCTACGCCACAGCACCAGCCCCACCAAATACTGCTCTTTTTGAAAATATTAACCCAGTATTAGGTGTTTTGTTATAGTAACACAAAGCAGACTAAGACAGTTGCCATTAATAACATAGCTAAGACCACAGTCAGTTCTCATTCTCAATTATCTTCTATTGTAGAAAACTAACAAGTGTTCTCAGGTCTTTTTTTTTTTTTTTTTTTAATGTTTGCTTCCTCTAAGGCTAGACTCTAAATCCATAACCTTTGTAGTCTGCAAAGGTTTGCACCAGACCATCTTTATTGCTCCCCAGGAACTGCTTGATAATATCAATGCCTTTCTGCTATAACTCAGGGCATGACAAAGAAGGGGGTGGTGGGGAAAGGGAATGCTAGGAATTTATCAGCCATGATGCATGAATTCCAAAAATATTCAAGGTTATTAAAACTTATTATTGTATTAATTTGTCCATATCACTATAATTTTAAAAATTACTTAAATTATTACAAATTATTTAAATTATTATTATAAATTAATATATATTGATATAAATTATTTAAATATTATAATTATTATAATTTGACATATATTTGTCCATAATTTGGGGGAAAGCCACAGAAAATTACAACAGTTTAACATCTCCTCTTTAGGGGCCCCTTTAAAAAAGAATTATTTTTAATTCATTTGACTCTTTCAGATTTTCTGTGAACTTTTTCAAGACAAAGGAAAAGTTAACATGAAGACTCACAGCAGAAAACTTCCGAGGACTTAGTTTTGATGCTGACAAATATTTGGACTTTACAAATGTTGGAAAAGCCTTTATTGCACACATAATTGGGCAGTGAAATGTCTTTTTTTTTTTTTTTTTTTTTTTTGATTTGCACAGGCAGAGTTAGGCAGTGAGAGAGAGAGAGAGAGAGAGAAAGGTCTTCCTTCCATTGGTTCACCCCTCAAATGGCCGCTACGGCTGGCATGCTGCGCCAATCCGAAGCCAGGAGCCAGGTGCTTCCTCCTGGCCTCTCATGTGGGTGCAGGGCCCAAGCACTTGGGCCATCCTCCATTCCCTTCCCAGGCCACAGCAGAGAGCTGGACTGAAATTTCAAGGAGGAATTCTACAAAAAATAAACTTACCAAAGATTGTACAGAAATTAAGTCTAAAATGGCCAGAGAAAAATGCTATTCATATAGGAGAGAACCACAATAAGATTAACAATAGGCTTCTCATCAGAAACAATGGAAAGCAAGAAGGTAATGTCATAACTATTCAAATTGTCTCCCGACATTCTAAAACCCTGGCATTTAAGAATTCTATGTCCAGAAATTATGGTATCTATACACTCTGAGTACTACTCAGCTGTAAAAAAAAAAACAAAAACAAAACAAAACAAAAAAAACATGAAATCTTGTCTTTTGCAACAAAATGGGTGCAACTGGAAACCATTATACTTAGTGAAATAAGCCAGTCCCAAAAAGATATATACCACGTTTTCCCTGATCTGAGGTAACTAATACAGTATCTAAAATGCGATGTATTGGGGTGAAATGGACATTTTGAGATTCCATGATTATTTACAGCCCTTGTCTCTTCTGTTGAGGAACAGTGTTTTTTATCTTCATACACAGAAAGAGAGGCAAAGAGAGAGAGAGAGGTCTTCCATCTGCTGGTTCACTCCCCAGATGGCCGCAATGACCGCAGCTGCGCCAATCTGAAGCCAGGAGCCAGGAGCTTCTTCTGGGTCTCCCGTGTGGGTGCAGGGGCCCAAGCACTTGGGCCATCCTCTACTGCTTTTCTAGGCCATAGCAGAGAGCTGGATCAGAAGTGGAGCAGCAGGGAGTAGAACCGACGCCATATTGGATGCCAGCACTGCAGGCAGTGGATTTACCCGCTATGCCACAGCTCTAGCCCCTCCTTAGTATACTTGTAAGTCATGTCAGCTAGCCACAAATGATCCAGTTTTCTTTATTTGGGAATGTCTTAATTTTCTTTCATTTTTGTAAAATACCCTTTCTGGATATATAATTTTTTTTAAAATTTTATTTAAGTTATCAAGTTTAATGTATTTCATATATACAGATTTAGGAACATTGTGATACTTCACAACCTGTCCTCCCTCTTGCCCACACTCCAACCCTTCTTCCTCCTCCCTCTCCCATTCCCACTCTTAATTTTTATAAAGATCTACTTTCAGCGCCAACGCTGTGGTGCAGTAGGTTAATCCTCTGAACCCATATGGGTGCCGGTTCTAGTCCCTGCTGCTCCACTTCTGATCCAGTTCTCTGCTACGGCCTGGAAAAGCAGTAGAGGATGGCCCAAGTGCTTGGGCCCCTGCACCCACACGGGAGACCCAGAAGAAGCTCCTGGCTCCTGGCTTCAGATTGGTGCAGCTTCGGCCATTGCGGCCAACTGGGGAGTGAGCCTCTCCTTCTCTTTCTGTGTAAATCTGACTTTCACATAAATAACAAATCTATAAAAAAATGAATAAAAAGATATACTAAGGAGATTCTTCAGCTTGAGAGCAAATGGCCCCAAACAGAAACTGAAATTGACATGAAGGAACAGAGACACTAGTAAAGATAATTCTCTTTATTAGGATAGTATAAATGAATATTTCTTCTTTCTTAAGTGATTTAGAAAATGATTTTATGAAACAATAATTACGTAATGGCATTTTCAGACTCTAATAGATGGGAATTGAATATATTTGGCAAGAAAAGCACAAAAGAGTTTGGAGCAAGGCTCTATTGGGCTAAGAAATTGAATCCACAGGAATAAATGAAGAGACTGGGCATGGTAAATAAGGTTAACATAAGAAATGCTATAAATACAAGGGGTCTTCAAAAAGTCTTTGGAAAATATGTACTGTAAAAAAACTATTGGGGCCGGTGCTGTGCAGTAGCTGGTAAAACTGCCACTTGCAATGTCAGCATCCCATATGGGGTCAAGTTTGAGTCCCAGCTGCTTCACTTCTGATCCAGCTCTCTGCTATGGCCTGAAAAAGCAGTGGAGGATGGCCCAAGTCCTGGGGCCCCTGCACCCGTGTGGGAGACCTGGAAGAAGCTCCTGGCTCCTGGCTTCAGATCGGTGCAGTTCCAACTGTTGCAGTCATCTGGGGAGCGAACCAGCAGATAGAAGACCTTTCTCTCTCTCTGCCTCTCCTTCTCTTTCTGTGTAACTCTGCCTTTCAAATAAATAAATAAATCCCCTCTCTTGTTAAAAAAAAAGAAAAGAAACTATGCAGGGATTTCAAAAAAAATTTCTCTTCTAGTTTGATTTTTCTATAAACTTTTCCAAATATCCTTGTACTTGCTCCACTTTTTCTATCTCACCCACATGGGAGATCCAGAAGAAGCTCCTGGCTCCTGGCTTTGGATCCACACAGCTCGAGCCGTTGTAGCCATTTGTGGAGTGAACCAGTGGATGGAAGACTCTCTCTCTGTGCCTCTCCTTCTTTCTCTGTTTAACTCTGACTTTCAAATAAATGAATAGATCTAAAAAAAAAAAAAAAAAAGCAAAAAGCACTGTGAAACTGCTTCTCAATGAGGCAGTTTCTTCAGAGAACTAACTATACTTTCTCACTTTCTCCTTTGTCACAAATAAATAAAACTTTAAGCAGCTCCTGCTGCAGCTTGATTACTTAGTGACACCCAAGTGAATGGACCCCTTTTTTGGAGCAACAGAAAGAACACAAAAAGCATGAAACATAAAATGGTGATAAATTGGATTCTATCAAGAGTGAAAACTGCTTTGAAAGACACTATAAAGACGCTGAGAACAGATAAAAATATTCAAAGAACTAAAATTGAAAGGGATGTGAAAACTTCATACAGTGCTGGTGAGAATGTAAACGGTACCACCACTTGGTAAACACAGTCTGCTAGTTTCTTGTAAAATTAAATATTCACTTGTGACCCACCAATTCCACTATTTATTTCCCAATATAAACGAAAGCATATGTTTACAAGAAGGCTGGTACACAAATGCTTCGATAAGCTTCATTCTTATCAAACTGGAAACAAGCCAAATATGCAAAAGCACTTGCATGGATGTACAAATTTAGATGCATTCATAAAACGGCATACTAACCACCAATAAAAAGCAACACTGACCCAGAAAACAGCACTGATAAATCTGAAGAACGTGCTGAGAGAAGCCAGGCCACCCCCGCCCCCAAATACCTACCATGTGATTCCATTTATATGGGACGATGGACAAGTAGGGTGAATCTATAGCGACAGAAGGTAAGTCAGCGAAAGTCGCGGCTCGGGTGCACAGACGGAGATTGAGCAAGGTCACAGGAACTTTGCGGAGCGAGGGTGTTCTGCGCCTCACACTTCCCAAGGATTCTCACAGCTCCCGTCAACTTCTCGTGCAAGCTGGCGACCGCTGCCTTTCTCTCAGGGCATGCATACGTGCAGTGTGCGAGGCTGTCCAGCACCACGGAGGAAGCCGGCGTCATCTGGGAGTTTTCAGTAAGAGGCTGCGTCCTGAGCTCGGAGCGCGGGGCAGGGGTGGGACCCCCACAGAATCGGGTGCCATCTTCGCCTGGCCGTCCGCCGCGGGACTACATTTCCCAGAGTTCCCGCGAGAACAGGGCTGCCCTTTAGTTTGCCTGCGGGACGCTGGGCGTCCGGGGACGGGAAAGTACACGGTGAGCGGCCTAGGTCTTGCGGACTCCACGAGGCCCCGGGGGTGCGTCCCTGGGCTCTGAAGGGAGGCGGCTCCGGGAGTGTCAGCCGCGAGCGGGTGGGTGGGGCTCGGGGGCACACGCGAGGTGTGGGCTTCTGTGTGTGATTGTGGGACGCTGGGTGTGCGGGTGTTGAGAGCCCTGGTACGTGTCTCTGATAGGTGTGTCCCTGTCACTGTGACCGTGCGTGGAGCGCTCTGTGCAGGTATCTTCGTTGTAGGGGTGTAGCTGCAACAGCGTGTGACTGTGTCCTCGTGGGGGGACTGTGACTGTTGGCGACTGTCTAACTTTGTGTGACTTGTGTGCGGGCCGCCAGGGCTTGGGGTGGGAGCTGAAGGGTCTGATTATTCGGTGTGGTACTCTGAGGTGCGTGCGTGGAACTGGCTTTGGGTAAGTGTTAGGACCACGTTGACTGGATGCCTGGGACGGTGAGGCTGTGGGAATGTGATCACAGAACTTTACCTGGCACTGTGTGTGCGGTTGGAAGGTGCATCTAGTTGTGCGCCAGGGTGACAGGACGCAGTCCTAGTGGCCATTGCGTTACTTTGAGTGTGTGATTATGTGTAGCGCTCATCAGGGGGTTTAGAGGAACTGCCTCTCTGGGTGGCTGTGCACTGCATGTGGTGTTGGGCCTGCAGCACTGTAGCCCCGTGGCTTGTGGGGTGCTGTAAGATTGAGGGTTCTGTACACCATGTATCCCTCAGAGTGGGTGTGGAGCTGTGGCTCTGGGACCACGTATAGAGCTGTGGTTTGGGTGAGGTTGCCTGTGAGGGCGGAGAATATGTGGGTCCCCACGGTGCGTGACTGTGACATTGGGGATATGGGTGTGGGGTGCCTGTGCCTGCACTTGTGACTTCTGCACAGCCGCGACCCCTCTGGCTGTATTTCCTTCTCTGCAGAGGTGGTGGATGTAGGTCGAGTGGCCCCTGACTTGCTCAGTCTGGGCCACAAGAAAAGCCTGGCATCTTTTTTTTTTTTTTTTTTTTTTGACAGGCAGAGTGGACAGTGAGAGAGAGAGACAGAGAGAAAGGTCTTCCTTTGCCGTTGGTTCACCCTCCAATGGCCGCCGCGGCCAGCGCGCTGCGGCCGGCGCACCGCGCTGATCCGATGCAGGAGCCAGGTGCTTTTCCTGGTCTCCTGGTCTCCATGGGGTGGCACCTGGGCCATCCTCCACTGCACTCCCTGGCCACAGCAGAGGGCTGGCCTGGAAGAGGGGCAACCGGGACAGAATCCTGCGCCCCGACCGGGACTAGAACCCGGTGTGCCGGCGCCGCAAGGCGGAGGATTAGCCTAGTGAGCTGCAGCGCCGGCCCAAGCCTGGCATCTTATGATCCCTTTCTGCTCCCTAGTTCTCCAGAAGTATGGAGAAAGAAAGAGGAATGGCTGTTGACCAAGCCAAGTACCAGGTATGCTGGGATATCTTTCTGCTCTACTTTTCTTGCATGACCATGCTTAACAGACTCATCAAGTGACCTGGTTCTAACAAACTCCATTCAAGAAAATGATGGGAAGCACTGAGGTGGACACACTGATCTCAGTATTCTCCCCAACTTCCTTCTACATAATAGTCTCATATTAATTTAGAAAATAGATCAGTTTCTCTTGTGTACCTAGTTTTTACTTTTTAAATACAAACACAACGTAGGCACACACATATACACACAAAAGTCTTTCAAAAAGTTTGTAGAAAATGAAACAAAGGGGCCGGTGTCGTGGCTCACTTGGTTAATCCTTCGCCTGCGGCACCAGCATCCCATATGGGAGCCGAGTTCTAGTCCCAGTTGCTCCTCTTCCAGTCCACCTGTCAGCTGTGTCCTGGGATAGCAGTGGAGGATGGCCTGGGTGCTTGGGCCCCTGCACCTGCATGGGAGACCTGGAAGAAGCTCCTGGCTCCTGGCTTTGGATCAGTGCAGCTCCGGCCCTTGTGGCCAATTGGGGAGTGAGCCAATGGGTGAATGACGTCTCTGCCTCTCCTTCTCTCTCTGTGTAACTCCAACTTTCAAATAAATAAATATTTTAAAAAAAAAAGCTTTAAAGAAGAATGATTTATAGGCCGGCGCCGTGGCTCACTAGGCTAATCCTCCACCTAGCGGCGCCGGCACACCGGGTTCTAGTCCCGGTCGGGGCGCAGGATTCTGTCCCGGTTGCCCCTCTTCCAGGCCAGCCCTCTGCTGTGGCCAGGGAGTACAGTGGAGGATGGCCCAGGTGCTTGGGCCCTGCACCCCATGGGAGACCAGGAAAAGCACCTGGCTCCTGGCTCCTGCCATCGGATCAGCGCGGTGCGCCGGCCGCAGCACGCCGGCCGCGGCGGCCATTGGAGGGTGAACCAACGGCAAAGGAAGACCTTTCTCTCTGTCTCTCTCTCTCACTGTCCACTCTGCCTGTCAAAAAAAAAAAAAAAAAAGAATGATTTATAATAAAAAGGTCAATCTACCTTCATAGAATGGATTCAAATATATTTGACAGAACTGAAAGTACTAATAGAAAAATTACAGTCATAGTGAGGGCTTGGAACCCCAGCCAGGTCTCTCACATGGGTACAGGGGCTTAAGGACTTGGGCCATGTACTGCTGCTTTCTCAGGCAGATTAGTAGGGAGCTGGGTTGGAAGTGGAACAGTCAAGACTTGAACCAGTACCCCCATAGGGTGCCTGCATTGCAGGCGATGGCTTAACCTGTTGCACCACAACACTAGCTACGTGTTAGTCATTATTAAATGTATATTCCAAGAAGTATTAAGTATATTCATATTGTTGTACAACAGATTTCTAGAAGTTTTTCATCCTGCAAACTAAATCTATAATCATCTAACAACAGCATCATATTTCCCACTCTCCCCAGCCTTTGCCAGCCACCTCTCCTTTCTGTTTCTGTGAGTTTGACTGCTTTAGATACCACTGTAAATGGAATTACGCAGTATTTGCCTTTTTGTGTTTGGTTTATTTCACTTAGCATAATGTCCTCAAAGTTCAAAAATGTAGCTTGTGGCAGTGACATAATTTTTTTAAAAGCATGTAGTTGCATTTAATTTAGACAATCTGTGACTTTTTTTTAAGATTTATTTATTTGAAAGGCAGGGTTACAGAGAAGCAAAGACAGAGAGAGGTCTTTTTTTTTTTTTTTAAGATTTTATTATTTATTTATTTGAAAGGCAGAGTTACAGAGAGGCAGAGAGAAAGAAGAGAGAGGTCTTCAATTTGCTGGTTCACTCCTCAGATGACTGCAACGGCCAGAGCTGTGCCAATCCGAAGTCAGGAGGCAGGAGCTTCCACCGGGTCTCCCAGGCGGGTGCAGGGGCCCACAGACTTGGGCCATCTTCCACTGCTTTTTGAGGCCATAGCAGAGAACTGGATCAGAAGTGGAACAGCTGGGACTTGAACTGGGCCCCATATGGGATGCTGGCACTGTAGGTGGCAGCTTCACCCACTATGCCACAGTGCCAGCCCTGAGAGAGAGGTCTTCCATCTGCTGGTTCACTCCCAAATGGCTGCAACAGCCAGAGCTGGGCTGATCCCAAGCCAGGAGCCAGCAGCTTCTTCCGGGTCTCCCACGTGGGTGCAGGGGCCCAAGGACTTGGGCCATCTTCTGCTTTCCCAGGCCATAGCAGAGAGCTGGATCTGAAGTGGAGCAGTGAATCTCAAACCAGTGCCCATATGGTATGCAGGCACTGCAGGTTTCGGCTTTACCTGCTACGCCACAGTGCAGACCCCAGCAGTGACAGAATTTATTTCATTTTTGTTTTGTTTTCAGTATATTTTATTTTGCAGAGCAATTTTGGGTTCACAGTGAAATTGCGGAGATTTCATATATAGCAGTCAACATCCCTCACACAGGTGGTATATCTATTTCTTTTTTTTTTTTTTTTTAGATTTTATTTATTTATTTGAGAGGTAGAGTTACAGACAGTGAGAGGGAGAGAGAGAAAGAAAAGTCTTCCTTCCATTTGTTCACTCACCAAATGGCTACAACAGCCAGAGCTGCGCTGGTCCGAAACCAGGAGCCAAGAGCTTCTTCCTGGTCTTCCCACATGGGTGCAGGTACCCAAGAACTTGGGCCATCTTCTACTGCTTTCCCAGGCCACAGCAGAGAGCTGCATTGGAAGAGGAGTGGCTGGGACTAGAACCAGTGCCTATATGGAATGCCGGCGCCACAGGCGGAGGATTAACCTGCAGCGCCATGGCACTGACCCCGGTATATTTGTTTCAATTAATGAAGCTACATTGACACATCATTTCCACCTAGAGTCCATGGTTTATGTTGAGTTCATTCTTGTTATTGTATGCTCTGTAGGCTTTGACAGATGTGTAATGATATGTATCCACCATTACAGTATCCTATGGAGCAGTTCCATAGCTCTTAGAAGCCTCTGTTCATCCCTCCTTCTCCCCACCCCTACTCTCAGTGCCTGGCAACCACTGATTTTTTTACTGCCTCCATAGTTTTGGCTTTGCCAGAATGTCATGTATGTAGCTGGAATCATTTAGTATGTGATCTTCTCATATTGGCTTCTTTCATTTAGTAATATACACCTAAGTTTCCTGAACCACTGATCATTGTGCCACGTCCCTTTGTATACATCATCAGACGTGTAAGTTGCTGTTTGTATTACAAGCATACTTCAAAACATTCATGGAGAAAAGAAATTAAAAGGTGAGTTTATTTTGGTGCAAAAGTTTCTTTGAGATCCGTGCATAAGTTTTTTGTAATATGCATTTTCCATGAAATTTTTGAAGACTACTTAGAGATGTTCATTTTTGTAGCTTAGTTTGTTTATTGGACAAGCTGCATGCTTTTAAGTTTTATATGATCTACAATGCCATTACATTTTATTGTCATGAAGGTATATGTGTTTTTTTTTTTTTTTTTCCAAAAGGTACATCTCTCTTGTTGATACCATTGGGTAATTATCAGGAACTTAATAATCACTCCCTGGGTGATAATCCAATGAGCTTCCACTTGGGACAGTCAGCTAATTTACTGTACTTGGTTTTACATGTCCACTGGTGCTAACTGCAGCAGATCCCCATTTTATCTTGTGTTAAAGTTCCCTACATTTTTTCTTATCATCTTGTGCAGTGGAAATGAGAATCTAATGTCAGAACTATAAATAATCCGATATTACAATGTCTATATTTTGGTTATTATGCACAATCCCTGGCTCATAACTCCCTCACCAGGGCAAGTCACAGAAACCAGAATTTTTCTGGGGTAGGGGTTTGGCACAGCATCTGAGATCCTGCTTGGAACCCCCATACCCAGTAATGGAGTGCTTGGGTTTGAATCCTGGCTCAGGTCCTGATTCCTGCTTCCTTCTAACACACACAGCGGGTGGCCCAAGTTGTTGGGTCTCTGCAACACACATGAGAGACCCAGACTGAGTCTCTAGTCCTGGCTCTGGACTGGTCTAGCCCTGGCTTATGCAGGCATTTGGGGAGTGAACAAGTAGATGAGAAATCCCTGTAACTTCTGTCAAATTTCTTTGAGGGCCAGCTGATTTCCTGCCCCAGATGAGTTTTTCCATCAGTATTGGATCATAAAAAGTTTAGTTTCTTTACAAAATCAGTTTTATTTTAGTAATTACAGTGTTCATTTCACTGTACTAATCAATGCCGTGAGGTTTTTTGTTTTTTTTTTTTTTTAAGATGAATGTATTTATTTATTTGACAGAGTTAGAGTCGGGGTTGGGGGGAGACATCTTCATTCCACTGGTTTCATTCCCCAGATGGCTGCAAAGGTCAGGGCTGGGCCAGGATGAAGCCAGAAACCAGGAGCTTCATCCAAGCCTTCCACATGGATGGCAGGGGCCCAAACATTTGGACCATCTTCCATTGCTTTCCCAGGCCCATTAGCAGGGAGCTAGATCGAACTGGCGCCTATATGGGATACCAGTGTCAGGCAGTAGCTTTATCCACTATGCCACAACCCTGGTCCCCATGAACTTTTTTTTGTTTTTTAAAAAAAAAGGGACCGGCACCATGGCATAGACAGTTAAGCTGCCACCTACAGTGCCAGCATCCCATATAGGCACCAGTTCAAGTCCAAGTTCAAGTGGCTGCTCCACTTCTATCCAGCTCTCTGCTAATACACCTGGAAAAGCAGTGGAAGATGGCCCCAAGTACTTGGGTCCCTTCCCCACATGGGAGACCCAGAAGAAGCCCTGGCCCCTGGCTTCAGACAGTCCCAGCTGCAGCTGTTACAGCCTGGGGAGTGAACCAATGGATGGAAGATCTCTCTGACATTCTCTCTCTCTCTCTCTCTCTCTCTCTCCTCTCTCTCCTCTCTGTTTGTTTGTATCTTTCAAGTAAAATGAAAATGAGTAGTAAATAAAATAAAATAAAATAAAAACAACAAAATCTCCTTAATTTATAAGCTGGCCATAAGCAGTTTTTTTCTTTCTAGGTAGAATATAAAAGAATGGTGTATTTCTAAGTCCCATGAAATAATTTATTATTCTTATGTGGCTTTGGTACAGCTGAGTATCCCCCTCTGGGGCAAAACTTAAGTAGGCATCCTAACTCATATTAAAATAATAAATAGGAGCCGGCGCTGTGGTGTAGCAGGTAAAGCCAGCACCTGCAGGGCCTGCATCCCATATGGGTGCCGGTTCAAGTCTCGGCCACTCCACTTCCGATCCAACTCTCTGCAATGGCCTGGGAAAGCAGTGGAAGATGGCCCAAGCCCTTGGGCCCCTGAACCCCCATGGGAGACTCGGAAGACACTCCTGGCTCCTGGCTTTGGATCAGTGCAGCTCCAGCTGTTGTGGCCAATTGGAGAGTGAACCAACAGATGGAAGGTGCCCCTCTCTCTCTCTCTCTCTCTCTCTGCCTTTCTGTGTGACTGACTTTCAAATAAATAAATAAATCCTTAAAAAAACACAAAAAAACAATAATATATGATAAAGATAATATGAACATAAGTAATACATATGAATATATAAATGATAACCATATACCATAATCTTTTACCAAATAATCTATACCAAATTAAATAATTGATTAAAATATTTACTTACAACAAATGAAAGCATTAAAATTGTAGAAGAGAGAGAAATTTATAGAAATATGGAAGGTGGAAAAAAATCTTACCCAGAAGCTATAAAAGAAAAGCTGACAGTTTGTTTTGCATGGAAAAACATAGATGAAGTAAAAGCAAAGCTAGAGGGTAACAGTGAGTACCTGTGTGTGCACGGACACTCCTATACCCACACCCACACACACCTGCCTGCACAGCGGTAGAAGGTGACTGCCTTTTGGCGTTGGAAAGCAAAAAGAGGTCAGCAGGGAAGTCTTTGGTCCTTCTATGTTCCCAGCTGGAAGTTTCCATTTGAGTGAGTCTGGCTTGGGTTCTGAGGGCTGCAGAGAGGGGTTTTTCAGGGCGGATTGTAGCAGCTCATCCTTGTGTTCAGAGCACCAGCATCACTAAGGTTGGGCAAGGTCTGGCTTCAGTCCCTTGGCTGAGGCAGAAACCTTGGTGGTTTGGGTTAGAGAGAGTAAATTTCAGCCTCTTCCCTTGGATTCAGCTACTGTGGTTTTTATTTTATTTATTTATTTATTTATTTATTGACAGGCAGAGTGGACAGTGAGAGAAAGAGAGACAGAGAGAAAGGTCTTCCTTTTTTTTTTTTTCTGTTGGTTCACCCTCCAATGGCTGCTACGGCCGGCACACCTGGTCTCTCATGCGGATGCAGGACCCAAGCATTTGGGCCACCCTCCACTGCACTCCCGGGCCACAGCAGAGAGCTAGACAGGAAGAGGAGCAACCGGGACAGAATCCGGCGCCCCGACCGGGACTAGAACCCGGTGTGCCGGCGCCACAGGCGGAGGATTAGCCTATTGAGCTGCGGCACCAGCCTCAGCTACTGTGTTCTATCTTGTAGCTAAAGCCTAGAGTTTTTATGGGTATAGAAGCAGTAGTGTTTGTTCCATCATCCCACTAACTAGAGTTGTATCATAAGAACAAGGGAAGTGAAGGTAGTTTTATCTGGCCATTCTTTTTTCTTTTTTTTTTTTTTACAGGCAGAGTTAGAGAGAGAGAGAGAAAGAGAGAAAGGTCTTCATTCCGTTGGTTCACCCCCCAAATGGTCGCCATGACCAGTGTGCTGTGCCGATCAGGAGCCAGGTGCTTCCTCTTATGTGGGTGCAGGGCCCAAGGACCTGGGCCATCTTTCACTGCCTTCCCGGGCTACAGCAGAGAGCTGCACTGGAAGAGAAGCAACTGAGAGAGAATCCGGTGCCCCAACTATGACTAGAACTGAGGTGCCAGTGCCGCAGGCGGAGGATTAGCCAAGTGAGCCACGGCACCAGCCTATCTGACCATTCTGAGGGATGTAAGACCAGTGTACTCTCTAAGGAATTTCTTCCTCTTTTTTTAATAATCTTCTTAAAATATTTATTTATTTATTTTTAAGAGTTACACAGAGAGAGGAGAGGCAGAGAGAGAGAGGTCTTCCATCCGATGGTTCACTCCCCAATTGGCCGCAATGGCCAGAGCTGTGTCGATCCAAACCCAGGAGCCAGGAGCCTCTTCCAGGTCTCCTGCACAGGTGCAGGGGCCCAAGGACCTGGGCCATCTTCTACTGCTTTCCCAGGCCATAGCAGAGTGCTGGATCGGAAGAGGAGCAGCCAGGACTAGAACTGGCGCCCATGTGGGATACCAGCGCCCCAGGCCAGGGAGTTAACCTGCTGTGCCACAGCACCGGCCCCTTTAGAGAATTTCTTTACTCCCTCCCTGTCTTGTCTTCTCACAACTGTCTTTTTTCAGAACAGCCCTGAGGAGAACTGATCATCTTCACTGCTGAAAACCATGGCTGGAGTAAGTTATTGCTTTTTCTTGCCTTCTTTTTTCATTAAGGGAAAAAAAACAAAAAACAAAAAACAAAAAACAAAAAACACCTATGTGAGCATTTGCTTTCCTTATCCTGACACCTTGGTGAACAGATTGCCCCATAGGATCCTGGTCCCCATTTCTTCTAGCTAGCGAACCGTATACCATCCATAAGTGCCCCTCTTTTTTTTCCAACCAGTTTTTCTCATCCCACTCCCAGGGACTATGTTGGAAAGGAAATGTGTTCTTTTTCAGGAAACAAGGAATGAGAATAGATTTATAGAATGAACTTGTCCTGTCTGGAATATGACTTGATGAGGTATGAATTGTTTAGCTGGGCCGGCACCGCAGCTCAATAGGCTAATCCTCCGCCTGTGGCGCCGGCACACCAGGTTTCTAGTCCCGGTCGGGGCGCCAGATTCTGTCCCGGTTGCCCCTCTTCCAGGCCAGTTCTCTGCTCTGGCCGGGGAGTGCAGTGGAGGATGGCCCAAGTGCTTGGGCCCTGCACCCCATGGGAGACCAGGAAAAGCACCTGGCTCCTGCCTTTGGATCAGTGTCGTGCGCTGGCCGCAGCGACCATTGGAGGGTGAACCAACGGCAAAGGAAGACCTTTCTCTCTGTCTCTCTCTCTCACTGTCCACTCTGCCTGTCAAAAAAAAAAAAAAAAAAAATTGCTTAGCTGAGAGAAAACATGGAAAAGCCAAGATTATCTCTACAGAGTTAACATTCTCCAGTAAAACAGTATGAAAAGTAGTATCAGTAGCTCCAAATGATAGTCTGTTGCAAGATTTCCTGGTCTATGAGGATTTGAGAATCATGGGCTTGGTGGCTGACACAAAGCTCGATGACTGTTTAGAGTATCCATGGGTGAAGTCCAATGTAAAGCTGAACAGGGTTTTGAGAGATTTCTATATGAATTGTCAGGTTTTTTTTATCTCAGAAATAAGGATGGGGGGTGATAGATGTTCCAATGAGTTTGGCCATTGTATAAGTTATTGAGATAGTACTGTCATGGTCCAGAAGAACCTTATAATTTGTGTCTAGTAATATAGAAAATTCTGCTAGCATGGTAATAATTAATTTGTATTGATAGAAAATAATTCTTTTTTATAAATTTATTTATTTGAAAAACAGAGTTAGAGAGGCAGAGAGAGAGAGAGAGGTATCTTCCATCTGCTGGTTTACTTCCCAGATGGCCACAACAGCCAGGATTGGGCCAAGCTGAATCAAGGAGCCAGGAGCTTCTTCCAGGTCTCCCCAGTGGGTACAGAGGCCCAAGCTCTTGGACCATCTTTCACTACTTTCCCAGGCACATTATCAGGGAGCTGGATCAGAAGTGGAGCAGTCAGGACTTGAACCAGCATCCACTGGAATGCTGGGATGCATCAAGAGTGAAATAGGATGCCTGCACTGTGGCATTGTGGGAGGGGCCCCCGCCTGCAGTGCCGGCATCCCATATGGGAGGCGTTTCAGGTCTTGGCTTCTTCAGGTCCGGCTCTCTGCTATGGCCTGGGAAAGCAGTGGAGGATGGCCCAGGTCCTTGGGCCCCTGCACCCACGTGGGAGACCTGGAAGAAGCTCCTGGCTCCTGGCTTTAGATCAGCTCAGCTCTGGCCGTTGCAGTCATCTGGGGAGTGAACCAGTGGATGAAAGACCTCTCTCTCTCTGCCACTGCCTCTCTGTAACTCAGCCTTTCAAATAAATAAATAAATCTGCTAAAAAAAAAAAGAAAAAAAGAAAAAGAAAATGGGTAAATATAAAAGCTTTAATATATTGAATTGGATTTTTTTTCAAAATTATTTCATAAGTCAGTGATACATAATTTCATCAGGCATATTATATCTGGTTATGTTTCTTTTTGTAATATGCCAGCAATTGACAGTTATTTTTAGATTCATTGGGGGTTGCCAAGAGATAATTTAATTTTGCCATTCCTTTTTCCTAGATTAAATACTTCTAACTATAAAGTAAAACTTTTCCTCATCAGCTGTTTAGTTACCCATAGAGGAAAGAATGTTTGATTCTTTCCATTTATTCATCAATTTTCAAAACAGTAAGTTGGCTTCTTGGAATCCTCTGAAAGTGATCAATAATTTTTTTCAATATTACAAGCTCAGGGCTCAAACATGTTAATGTAATCAGTCCATTGCAGTTATTGTCCTTTTAATTTGATATACAAGTGGACCATTTTTGGCCAGGGGTAGATTCGTCAAGTTGACTCCTGAGTCTTTTCAAGTTGATCCTAGTAGTTTGGGGTTACTTTCTTGCTTTTTGATATAATATATTCAGACTCTTCCTGTGCATTTTTGATTTTTGTTTGAAATGCATTCTTTCCCCAAAGAACCTTAGTTCTTTTTATTTGAAAATGGTACTTAGAAACTATAATCTACATACTAGGGGTGCTCCTTGCCATTATGTCTAGGTCTTTTCAATAGACACAATCAGGAATTTGTTCATTTGGTTTTTTGTTTGTTTGTTTGTTTGTTTGTTTTTTTAATTAAAGATTTATTTTATTTGCTTCAAAGGCAGAGTGACAGAGGAAAAGATCTTCCATCCACTCTCCAAATAGCTGCAACAGCCAGGGCTGGGCCAGGAGCCTGGAATTCCATGTGGGTCTCCATGTGGGTGGCAGGGGCCCAAGCACTTGCTGCTTTTCCAAAGGTGGCTTAACCATAATGCTGGTTCCTTTGCTGGTTTCTTGATGATGCCAGATTTTCAGCCCCTTGCATGTTCAACAGCCAATGCTTGTGTTTGTAGAAGACTATGGAGAACTGCGAAGGACAAGCTCTTGAACTTTGCCTCAGAATCAGGAAGTCCGCATGGTCAAGAGAGGCCTGTGGCTCTGGTGACATCGTCAAGTCTGGCTCTGCCCAGCTCTTAACTCTGCAGCTGCACAGCAGGACTCCATTTGTTTAATATAAAATAAACTTATTACTCTTCCATCTATTCCTGAGATACAAAAATACTAGTTCTTAGTGATACCAGTAAAATTATTAATTTGTTTTACCTCAAAATACTTGCATTGGAGTATTTCTTTTAGTATACAATTAGTGCATATGTTTATTGTTTCAGGGACCAGTGACGTTCAGTGATGTGTCTGTAGACTTCTCTCAGGAGGAGTGGGAGTGCCTGGACCCTACTCAGAGGGACTTGTACAGAGATGTGATGCTGGAGAACTACAGCAACCTGGTTGCCATGGGTAAGGGCATCTGTACGAATGATTCAGAGTTCTATGGGATGTCTGCTTCTTCCACAGTGAATTTCTTGGCTGCTTTTCAAGTTTCCAGCTGAATCTCTGCTCCTTCCTCCCAAACAAGTAGTTTGAGCTGAAATGAAAAGGAAGAGTAACCAGTGGGCTATGGCTGAAGCTTCAGCTGCATCTTTCTTTGGCTGTTCCTGTAGCGGCATCCCTTCGTGCGCATCAGAGGACTGGATCTGATTTACCCACAACATAATCATGTCCCATATCTTTTCTCGTGAGCAGGACTTTATATTCCTAAGCCTCAAGTGATTTCCTTATTGGAGCAAGGGAAAGAGCCCTGGATGATTGGCAAAGAGCTGACAAGAGGCTTGTGTTCAGGTGAGTGAGAAAGGCCTCAACAGAAATCAGGACGGCACAGGAAATATCTCCAGCTGGTCAGTGGGAAACAACACATTTTAGGTATTACCATGGTCACTTCCTCTAAGATTCTAGGCCTCTGGAGAAAACTGAACTGATTTTTTTTTTTTTTAATTTTTTTTTTTTTTTGACAGGCAGAGTTAAAGAGAAAGGTCTTCCTTCCATTGGTTCACCCCCCCAAACAACCACCACAGCTGGCGCGCTGCGCCAGTCCGAAGCCAGGAGCCAGGTGCTTCTTCCTGGTCTCCCATGTGGGTGCAGGGCCTCTCCTCTGCCTTCCCGGGCCACAGCAGAGACCTGGACTGGAAGAGGAGCAAACGGGACAGAATCCGGCACCCCAACCGGGACTAGAACCTGGGGTACCAGCGTCACAGGTGGAGGATTAGCCTAGTGAGCCACAGTGCCGGCCAACTGAAGTGCTTTTAGCAAGAGTTCACAAATAACGTGTTTCATCTCTTCCCCCAACTCTATCACTACTCTTTTCCAGCCCTCTCAATTTCAGGCAGAAGGTGCCTTTCACTACCCCTCCAAAGAAAACTCTTTTACTCATACAAGCCTTTAGATTGAAGTCCTTGCTAGCTTTCCTGCTTTTTTACATTAGATTTTTGTAGATGTTTTAAATGTCCACCTTCAAAAGAATGTGACAGTATGTACTCATGCATGTGAATCCGTATCCCCAGACTCCCTACCTGCCCAAGTACTGGTCTTCATTATAGCTACTATCAGTGTCTTGTTTTATCAGTTTGTCTTAGAACTTCTTCTTTATCCAGCATTTTTGATTTCTTCATTTGTGTAAGGGACTCTGCTAAGTGCTACAGTTCGTGTCACCCTTAGGAACTTGAAGATTGAAAATGGTGCTAAAATATGCCCAGAAAACAATAAAAGAGAAGTCACATTAAATATGTAGAAGTAGGATTAGTCCATGCTGTTATAGTAGTTGGAGCCTTGTAGGTGATTGAAGCCACCATGTATAGACAGACATTACTGGGGGCCAAAAAGGGGGAGATTCTATGCCTACATTGAAAAGGAAGAGGTATAGGAGCCAGCGCTGTGGCTTAGTAGGTTAAGCTTCTGCCTGTGGCACCAGCAGCCCATAATGGTGCTGGTTCATGTCGCAGCTGCTCCTTTTTTTTTTTTCCAATCCAGCTCTCTGGGAAAGCAGTGGAAGATGGCCCAAGTGCTGGGGCCCCTGCACCCGCGTGGGAGGCCCAGAAGAAGCTCCTGGCTCTGGCTTCAGATAGGCCCAGCCAGCTATTGCTGCCATTTGGGGAGTGAACCAGGGGATGGAAGACCTTTTTCTCTGTCTCTCCCTCTCTCTGTCTGTAATTCTGCCTCTCAATAAATAAATCTTAAAGAAAAAGTAAAAGAAGAGGTGGCAGAGAAGAGAGATTTCAGATGAGGTAGGAGAACCAGAAGGGTACTTACTGAGTAACTACTATAAACCAAGAATCAGGCCAGGTGCTAGGATTATCGTATTAATCAAAACTTTTTATATATTATTTATATTTTTTGAGAGACAGAGAGCACTTCCATCCGCTGGTTTTTTCCACTATATGCCCATAACAGCCAGGGCTGAACTGGGGCTGAAGCCAGAAGCCAGGAGCCAGGATTGCAGTCTAGATCTCCCACATAGAACAACATTCCTTGAGCCATCACCACTGTGTCCCAGGATCTGGATTAGCAGGAAGGTGGAGTCAGGAGCCTGAACCTGGAATTGAACCCAGGCACACCAATGTGGGATGCAGGCATCCTGTCCACTAGGTTAAATACCAAATAAAACAAACCTGTTAATAAAGGTCTTAAATTTTTTTTTACAAAGTATATACAGAGTTTTAACTATCCCAAGGAGTCAGCACTACTAACCTCCATGTTGTTCAAGGGTTGACTATATAATATATGTATTTATTTATTTATACCACAAATAAATATATAATGTACTTATGTTATTTATCTAACATATATTAGTACACATATATGTATTTCATAACCACACATACGGACATGTGCACACTCTTCTACCACTCAGGAAATGCCAAAGGTTTTTGAAGCTCTGTGCTAGGAACCAGGGACAAAGACTAAATTTATTCTTTATTATACCACAGAATACCCAAGAATCTTCCTCATTTGCATTTATTTCTATTAGGTGACCTTTAACAGAAGCTAGAAATCCACTTTTCATTATAGTATGATGATGTACTTTCTCTTCTGCATATGTACATACATATTTATGCAGATATTTGTGACTAGTCATATTTTAATATGGGAGATGACCCAAGCATTGTATATGTATCAACCTTTCCAGATGACTCTGACCCTCATCAATATTTGAGAATCATTACGGTGACTTACTTCTATTGTCCCTTCCCTCTGCTGTCTGCATTGTATTTTGTTATTTTCTGTGCATTTCTTGCCCATTTTTCAGATTAAACAGGTACCCTTGAAAACTCTATGACATTTACCTGCTGGATTTTATTTTCGCTTTAATTTCTACATTTCTGTTATAAAAGGTTAACTTTTCTCAAGTAGGGAAAAGGAATGTTTACTATTTCCTTTTCTTTCAGATCTGGAGTCAATGTGTGAAAGCAAGTTGTTATCTCTAAAGAAAGAAGTTTATGAAATAGAGTCATGTCAGAGGGAGCTAATGGGACTGACGAAGCATGGCCTTGAGTTCTCCAGCTTTAGAGATGTTTTAGACTATAGAAGCCATTTTCCAAGTCAACCAGGCTATCATAATGGGCATTTGAACCAAGAAACATTCACTCATGAATACATGCCCACATTTATTCAACAGACATTCCTTACTCTACATCAAATAATTAATGATGGAGAGAAACCCTATGAATGTAAGAAATGTGGAAAGACCTTTAGTCAGAACTCACAGTTTATTCAACATCAAAGAATTCATATTGGTGAAAAATCTTATGAATGTAAGGAATGTGGGAAATTCTTTAGTTGTGGTTCACATGTTACTCGACATCTGAAAATTCACACTGGTGAAAAACCATTTGAATGTAAAGAATGTGGGAAAGCCTTCAGCTGTAGTTCATACCTTTCTCAACATCAAAGAATTCATACTGGTAAGAAACCCTATGAATGTAAGGAATGTGGAAAGGCCTTTAGTTACTGCTCAAATCTTATTGACCATCAGCGAATTCACACTGGTGAAAAACCCTATGAATGTAAAGTATGTGGGAAAGCCTTCACTAAGAGCTCACAACTTTTTCAACATGTACGAATTCATACAGGTGAGAAACCCTATGAATGTAAGGAATGTGGCAAAGCATTTACTCAGAGCTCAAAGCTTGTTCAGCATCAGAGAATCCACACTGGTGAGAAACCCTATGAGTGCAAGGAATGTGGCAAAGCTTTCAGTAGTGGATCAGCACTTACTAATCATCAGAGAATTCACACTGGTGAGAAACCGTATGATTGTAAGGAATGTGGGAAGGCTTTTACGCAGAGCTCACAACTTCGTCAACATCAAAGAATTCATGCTGGTGAGAAACCCTTTGAATGTCTTGAATGTGGGAAGGCTTTTACCCAGAATTCGCAACTTTTTCAACATCAAAGAATTCATACAGATGAAAAGCCATATGAATGTAATGAATGTGGAAAGGCCTTTAATAAGTGTTCCAACCTTACTCGACATCTGAGGATTCACAGTGGTGAAAAGCCCTATAATTGTAAGGAATGTGGGAAGGCATTTAGTAGTGGCTCAGACCTCATTCGTCATCAGGGGATTCATGCTAATGAATAATAAAAAAGCTCTGTCACCTTCCTGGTATTTTTAAATAGAAATTCATTTTTGCTAGTCTTTCACTACTTTTGGTTTATTTGTATTTAAGTTTTTAGTACAGATGTATTTCATTGTAAGTTACGGATTTTTATTGTAAGTTATGGATTCAGAGTCTGACATCCTTCCTCCTCCCCAACCTGTATCAGTGTCAATTATTCAGTAATTCTTTCCTTTCTCATTGTTTTATTTTACCTTGGTGATACTCTATATATTATTCTTCATATTTGCTTGTGTTTGTAGAACTATTTTTTTCTGTTTTGGATATTTGTACTTGTGCCAATATCACACTCTTTAAATTGTGTGACCTTTGGTTTTTCTAGCATACTATGGAATTAATACTTTGTTGTTTAAGTCTGTTCATTGTTTTCATGTCTTTTATTGTAAAACAAAATAAGAAATCAGAAGCTGAAAATCTAAAATTGTTTTAAATATACTAATTAGTGCTGTCAATTTGGTAAGTCTACCTGCTAGACTTTTTACAGAATGCTCATTTATCTTCATCTACTTGAAAGGCAGAGCTAGAACTTCCATCTATTCGTTCAATCCGCAAATGCTGAGCAATAGCCAGAGCTTGGCTAGCGGAAGACAGGAGCTTGAAACTCTGTCAAAGTCTCCTACATGTAGGTCAGGGTCCTAAGCATTTGGGCCGTCATCTTCTGCCTCCCAGGGTGCATTAGCTGGATCAGTGGCTTAACCCACTATTCCACAACACCTGCCCCTGGACTTTCTTTCTTTCTTTCTTTCTTTCTTTTTTTTTTTTTTTTTTTTTTTTTTTTTTTTTTTGACAGGCAGAGTGGACAGTGAGAGAGAGAGAGAGAGAGAAAGGTCTTCTTTTTCTGTTGGTTCACCCCACAGTGGCCACTGCGGCCGGCTCACCATGCTGATCCAAAGCCAGGAGCCAGGTGCTTCTCCTGGTCTTCCTTGCAGGTGCAGGGGCCCAAAGGACTTAGGGCATTCCTCTACTGCACCTCTCCGGGCCACAGAAAAAAGCTGGGCCTGGAAGAAGGAGCCATCGGGAACAGAATTCTGGCACCTCGACCAGGACTAGAAACTTGGAGTACCAGTGCTGCCAGGCGGAGGATTTAGCTCTAGTGAGCCCGCCGCCGCCCCGCCTTAAATTTTTCTTTTCTAAAGAAAGTAGTCATGGTGTACATGCTGTGCCTTTACTTGGTTTTATCATGCCAAAAACATGATTTCAATTTCAGTAAGTTTAGTTTTTTATTTTAATGACATATCTAATAATTTTATAGTGACTAATATTCTTAGTATGGTTGCCTCTAAATTTTTAGTTATAAAAATTGTCATTAATATGAACCAAAGTTTATCTTTGAGTGCTTTTTCTTTTAAAACATTTATATTAATTGTTGAAATTATCCATATTTTCTCCTTATAGACTGTTTCATTCTTTTTCATTAACCTTAATTCCATTGCCACACTAGAAAGATAATTACTGTTACGAGAGTGTTGTTTATATTTCCAGATACTTTTTTTATATGTGTTAATGATGTTTTCTTATGTATAACTACATACAAACATGCTGTATGTATTGGTTTGCTGTGAGGAGTTAATAAATGTAAATTACTTAGCACTATTCCTGTCACAGAGTATATGTTTAGTAAAAGGGTCCCACTAGTATTGTGGATACATTAATTATCACAATCATTTCATTATGATTGGTAGAAAAGGTCTTTGTTGTTGCTGTTGTTGTTATTGTTGACCTAAACCTCAGGGCTCTAGGTATTACATGCTTTTTACATTTTTTTCTCCCATCCTCTGGTTCACTTACCAAATGCCCACAACATCTGGAGCTGAGCTAGGACTGAAGCTGGGGCCTGGGACCTCACTCCAGATCTCCCATGGCAGTGGCAGCAACCTAATAACCTGAGTCATGACCAGTGCCTCCAAGATTCTGGACTTGAGAGCGGGAGCTGGGAATTGAACCCAGGCACTCTACTGTGGGACACGGGCATCTTAACTGGTGCCTTAACCACTAGGCTAATTGCCTACCCCTGTGGAAACGATTTTAACATGTTGTTTATCTTTGTCAAAATTGGAGAACTCAGAATGGAGAAAGAAATAATTGTGATGAGTACACAAAAGCTGTTCCCCATCACTCATTTATTACTTATCATGGAATTTTAAAAGAAAAAGAAAAAATATGTATGGGTGATCTTTGTTTAGACTTCATCTTTTATGCTGTATGGAGAATATCAGTCTGAAACTTTGTGGATATAAAGATGGATAGTTGGATAGTTGAAGGCACAACTACCAAAAAAAAAAAAAAAAAGGCAAGAAGAGATTAGAATAACTTTCCTAATAATTAGTTCCAAAAAAAGCAGAAAGCATATAAACCATAGTCTTCGACCAGAATGGAAAAAACAGTTGTAATAGACTAGCCATCAAAAACCTGAGCATTAATTCAGTATCCTACTAACAAAAGTTAAGGAATTAAACCCTTAAATACAAATTATTTAAATGGTAAAGAAAATGAGAACACAATTGAAAACCTGTGAGTCATAATTAAATTTGTATAATCTAATATGCATGCATATATATATTTTAAGATTTATCTATTTGAAAGGCAAAGTTACAGATATGCAGAGGCAGAGAGAAGCCTTGCATCCACTAGTTCACTCCCCGAATGTCCACAACAGCCAGGGCTGGGCCAGACTTAAGTCAGGAACCAGGAGCCTCATCCGGTCTCCCACGTGGGTGCAGAGGCCCAAGCATTTGGGCCATCCTCTGCTTTCCCAGGTCATTAGCAGGGAGTTGGATTGGAAATGGAGCAGCTGGGACATAGGATGCCAGAGCTGCAGAGGGCAGCTTAACCCACTATGCAACAGTGCCGGCCCCTCATGCATATATTAAAATATTAGAAAGAAGAGAGGGAGCAAGATGGTGGCCAAGTAAGCTGTCCCAGCAACTACCTCCTTTCAGAAACACCAATTTAAACAGCTATTCAGGCACCAATTCACCTGGGTAAGAGCTACAGAAAGCAGATGAGAGATTACAGTGCCTGATTTTTGTAAAATAATGAAAGCCATATTCCAAGTAGCACTGTGTACAGAAAGATGCCACCTGTGTGGGGAAGGGAGAAGGCATTTAACCCCAATGTTAGCTCACTGGAATAAGGTTCAGCATCACATAAGGCCCCTACCCTGCACACTGAGTATTTGGACCTCCACAGCCAAGCAACCTCTGCCATCCCTTCCCCAATGTCGCTCCCCCTCTTCGTGGAGGAACGACACAGGACCCTGCGCTGTTCTTTTGTCTGCTCGGCCCTCCCCGGGTTTGCTGCTGGTTCTTCCCGGGTTGGCTACCGTCCCTTCCACCTCCATGGAAGGGCGGTTCCCCCTGCCACTTTCCCCACTTCCGCGGGGGAGCGGCACACCGCCGGCCGGCTCTCGCGGGGGCTGCACAGGTGTTCCTTCAGATAGATGTTCCTGGTGCATATTGTCTCTCTCCTCCTTTATAGTCCTCTTCCGCCAATCCCAACTCTGCTACCCACACGCCGAGTACGCTGCTCTCCTCCAATCAGGAGCAGGTCCTGCTGTTTATTGGTTGAACTGGAGGCAGCTGTGTAGAAGCTGTTTGCTCCTCTCCCAGCGCCATATTGTGGGAGAGCAGATGCATAGAATAAGTCTTAATTCCAGTAACAGTCTAGTCCGAGTTGCTCCCAGTTGCTCCCCACACCCAACTATTGGCAGAAATCGGGGGAAGACCCCAGCTTCTGGAAGCTAGGCAGGAGAGGGAGTTTTGGAACTTGCCTTGGATTTTAGACCTGACCCACCACCTTGAGACCTAGCACCTTATAAAGTCCAAAGAACTCTACCAACCAGACCAGTACTGGCAGGCTGAGCCACTAGACTTGTCCTGGCATCAGGCAGAGACCACACTCTGGTAGGATGGACTGCTGGTGCGTGTCACCATTAGCTTCAGGCAGGCCTGGCATGCTTGTACCCCTGTGACTTTGGGAAGCCCACAGACTGTGGGACACAGATGAGACCCAGCCAGTGCCAATCTGGCTGACCGGGAAGCTGTCTTTATCACCCTCTGCCAGCCTTAGGAAGATAAGAAACCACAGGTCTGTGTTGGCACTTAGGTAAAGGCCAGGTTTGTCTTCCTCTTAGGCAAGTGCCGTTGGACAGCGTGGACCTTCCTCAGTATCAGGCAGGCACCTGGCCCTGTTTAAGATGGACTTGTTTTGGTATGTGTGCTATCACTAACTTCACATGGGCCTCATGTGCACACTCAAGATTGCACAGGGCCTAATGTCTCTGAGACCCAGGTGTGACCCACCCACGAAGATGAGGGACTGCCTTTATCACCCCTCCTACAAATTTGGCCGAAGAGCAAGGAACCACAGGACTGTTGGGGGATTCAGTACCAAGTTGGTAAAACCCAACATTGGGCAGATCCAAATGGTTCCTGTCTCCAGGTCTACCTATGGAGCTTCTGTGCCTGCTGCAGTGCCAACTGGAGTTCTGTAGCCCCAACAGATTATACACTAGCCAGTAACACCAGTGACCATTAGGAGTGGCATCAGACAGTGAGTCCACCTCAGTGATAGATTGACCATGGTAGGGTGGGCTTCACTCTAATCCCAGGTGGGCTGTAGGCCACAGGTGTGAGCAAGCATCATGGCATTGTTGGACACAAGACTAGGAGTCTAGGTTATTGAGATCTTTCTTAGTAGATGTATTTATAACTGTACACATCTGTCTATGTTCTGTTTTAGCTGAATACCATAAGTCTTAATATGCTGTATATTAATTTCATTCTTCTGAAATTATTTTATGATTTCTTCTTTGCACTTGATCTTAGCCAAAAGGCTGAGAAGCAATCTTCTTTGACCAGTTGGTTACTTAGGAGTGAAATGTTTAATTTCCACTTATTTGTGAATTTCCTCAACTTTTCCTGGTGTTGATTCCTTATTGTAAAAACATTGTGTTCAAAGAGCTTTTGCAGTTTTTACTTCAGCTCTGAGATGAAATATGTGAGACTGAGTTGACTGCCTCTTCCTGAGGATTCATGGGTTAGACATACTGGGCTGAATGGTATCTGGATGCCCAAAGTTCTTTTGTAAATCAGGACCATCCCAACCTGGGCTCATAACAAGTAGGGCTTTCTACAGAACTGGCCTCTGTTCTTCAAAAACATTCATGTTATAAAAAGCAAAGAAAGGCAGAGGAACTGTCTAGTTGACAAGACTCTTAAGATATGTGTGGGGCCAGAATTGTGGCCTACAGCACAGGCATCCCATGTGGGTACCAGTTCAAGTCCCTGGTGCCCCACTTCTAATCCAGCTCCAGGCTAATGCACCTGAGAAAGTAGTGGAGGATGGCCAAGTGCTTGGGCCCCTGCTACTTCTATAAGAGACCTGGAGGAAGCTCCTTGATCCTGGCTTCAGCCTGGCCCAGCCCTGGTCATTGCAGCCATCTGGGGAGTGAACCAGCAGTGGATGATCTGCCTCTCTCTGACTTTCAAATAAATAAATAAATAAATAAATAAATCTTTCAAAAAAGAAAAAGACTGGCCAGCGCCGCAGCTTAATAGGCTAATTCTCCACCTAGCGGCACCAGCACACCGGGTTCTAGTCCCGGTCGGGGCGCCAGATTCTTTCCCGGTTGCCCTTCTTCCAGGCCAGCTCTCTGCTGTGGCCCGGGAAGGCAGTGGAGGATGGCCCAAGTGCTTGGGCACTGCACCCCATGGGAGACCAGGAGAAGCACCTGGCTCCTGCCTTCGGATCAGCGCAGTGCACTGGCCACAGCACGCCAGCCGTGGCGGCCATTAGAGGGTGAACCAATGGCAAAAGGAAGACCTTTCTCTCTGTCTCTCTCTCTCACTGTCCACTCTGCCTGTAAAAAAAAAAAGAAAGAAAGAAAGAAAGAAAGAAAGAAAGAAAGAAAGAAAGAAAGAAAGAAAGAAAGAGACT